ATCTCAAGCATGTTTGAAATGGTAACTCACAGCATCTTGCGTTCTTTCTACAAGATTGCAGACCGACTTTGTGTCTAACAAAAGGCTACTCTGCAGAAAGCCTCCAGCGACGTTAGTACAAAATAAATCTTCGCCCAGTGTACACTCATATTCACAGGGGTCCTCCAAGGGTATAAAACCAAAACGAATGCTACGATATTGAAAAGCCTAGACGACCACCGAAATGGAATGGTGCAAGGTGCCGCTGATATCAGATTGCACAGGCATCCTGCTGTGCCTTGTTCGGTCGGAGATATATTCTTGCTATGCTTAAAGCTTATTGTTTAAGGGCTTTATTCCTGCTCTGCTTAATAATGATAGCAATAGTTAAAAGTAATAGTAATCGGGAATAAATATTACCATGTACACCAGCCTAAGAGAGGAGGACCTTTTTGGTTTGTGTTTGGCGCCATAGCGCATATTAAACGTTGTTAATACGGGGACACAAACAACTGTGGTGTGCACACCTGAGCTGCGGCTAGTGTTTGGCTGGTGAGGAGTGGAAGTGTGTGGTTGCACAGAAGTAAGACAAGCGCCCACACACTTTCCGCGAAGCCCTGCAGAATCGGTTGCTTTAGCCGCTGATCGTATTGTCCTTTACGTTTGTTGATCTGTTTAGAAACGAAACCATCCCAAATGATTAACGGTATTTACTCACAAATATGGTTTACGTCTTCTGCTGTGAGAAAAGTGCTGACTGAAGAAGCCCTCAGGGCTTTGCTCCGTACCGACCTGCGCTTCACTCAAGCCAGGAGGCCGAACTTGTGCGGGACTCAGGAGCATTAGGCCATTCGTAATAATGGCTTGGGTTTTGCGGCTCACCGACCACTAAGTTCCTCTCGAGACGGGGGTAAGTTTACTAGGTACCATGAGTGCCTCGCCAGTGGTGTGGCAGGGACTGGAACCCAGGAACCGATAGGCCCTGATCCGAGAGACTTAATCACTGCACCACTTAACCAGCATACCACTGGTCCCCTGTAGGTGACACCAATATGAACTTTGCGAGTGTTCGTGTGGCATGGAGTAGGCATTATTTGTTACGGAACACTTACGTGGAACGAGGCGTAGTTTTGTAAAAGTTGGAGGGAGAGCTGAACAAAGAAAACTGGGTCTAGCCTTCCCTCAAAGCGGGTCCCTAAAACGAGTCACTTTCCGACTTTGTGCCATTTTCTCAAGGCTTGGAGGGCTATAGCCCCCCCTCTCGAACTATGTTTGTGGCGGGCTTCTGTGACACATTCTGAAATATGTTTTTAATGCATGTGCCCATCATGCGCGCATTCCATACTTTGTTTTGTTTTGTGCACTCATTTCTCATGGCTTGGGCTGCATGTATGAGAGTATTTCGGCAGCAGATCGCCTTGTATGCTTACTGAAAACCACAAAAGTACCATATGAAGCCTGGCACAGACGACCAAGGTCATAAACATCGATTTGCTTTGTTGTGGAAATTGCCAAATATGCATATATATATATATTATATATATTATATATATATATATAGTAGAAGGAAAAGTTAGTAAAATTCGAATATTTTATGCAACCTTGTTAAATTATAGGGATCTCAGCCCTTGATGGCCTTTTTCAAGGCTTTCTTTTCGATCGATCTTCGGACGTCTATGAGACCTTCCCGATAGTCGTTTTAAGGAGCACTAATGCTCATGATATAAATTTTCCTATTTTCAATTTTCAATTTTCACACGATCCAACTCCACTCAAAGAAAATGTCGTCATATATCACTATAAACGCAATATAGGAGACTGTGTACTCCTTCCTTACAGTACACATATCAGTCGCACCGCACAGTTTCCAGAAAATTCACCCACAAGACGGCATGCCCCCCTCCCCCCCCCCCCACACAAATACTCAACACAATGCCACCTGACAACCAAATGCTAAACAACGAAAACCGATATGACAAGCAAGGAACATAACAAGCACATCGCACGGCTTACACAAACACGGAGGACTCATCGCTCTAGAAGTGATGTACATCCTCTGCTTAGAACCTCTTATCAGCAAACAAATGCGCATGAGCCCTCAATCTGTATGGAGGGCCGCAGTTAGGGGGCGCAGAGGACCGGGTTGTCCAGGTGTTTGTGTGTCCGCTGATAACGGTTGGTGCTACTAGAGATGATTACGCCAGATTCACGAATGGTCCGCATTATGTTACGTACTTATTCGGTATTCGTGTGTTATGCCCGTACTCATCAAAATTATGCCTCTAGGTGGGAAATCAGTTTTAAAAGTGTCGCGTGAAAGCTTTGGAGTCTTGCCAACGCGTATTCATATCGGTTCTGTCCAAAACTATGCTCGAGAAAATGTCGCGATACGAGTAATGCTTTTAGCGATATACCCGGTATCAGGACAATCCTCTGGTTCCCTTTTATTATGAGCTTTGGTGTCATTTTAAACGAGCCTTGACCAGAGAGTTGAGTATGCTATCAGGTCATCTGATCATTAGTTCAGAGCAATCAAAAACATAAAAAAGATCATGGATGCTGGGTTTGATTCAGTTTTTTAACGAACAAGCACAACAGCACACACGAACATGCACACACCACACACACATACACACACACCACACAACACGCGCGCGCGCGCGCGCCGCACACAGCACAGCACGCACACACACACCACACACACACACACACACACACACACACGCACACACACATAATCACACACACACTACACACACACACACACACACACACACACACCACACATCACACACACACACACACACACACACACACACACCACCCCACACACCCAAACACACACACACACACACACACACACACACACACACACACACACACGCACACACACATAAACACACACACACACACACACACACACACACACACACACACAACACACACACACACACACACACACACACACACACACACATATATTTTCTTTGTGATCATCAGCCTTGCACCCGGGGGATTCATCAGGTCGCACGTGTTCTAGTGTTTTGTTTTTTGGTTCCGTTTCTAGACAACAAGATGATAAAACACTTTGACAATCGTTCAACATCAACCTTATCTGCCCCTCTTGGTCCCAGTTCACCTGTGGCACTCCCGCACATAGTCCTGCATGACTTGGAAACTGCCCCGTGTAATGCATCGCGCTGCGATGCTTTCCTCTTAAGAGAATCCCGTTATCCGATCTCTGCTTATGTCGATCGTCCTACGCCGGTTTGTGGATACACGGAAAACGCACTGTGTAGATCATGGCGCACCTGGTTTGATGGCTGTCTTGCGTACGTATAAATAACAGCGCGTTCGTGTTTAGACAGAACAGCTGGATTTTTCTCACAGGTTACGAAACTCTGAGTGGATTTACCTCAAACTAACCGCACATACGACGACCCGCAGTGGCCCTCAGGGCGTGAGGTTGAATGTAAGCTTTAGTCCAAACCCTAGCTGCGTCTAAATCGGGCGACTGTCGCCAACGTTTCTACTTCTGTGGGAGCTTGATACAGGCAACTTGGAAAGCGTGCACGCTGCGCACTAAAGAAGCGTTTTAAGCAAAGATGGCATCCCAGGGGCTAGACATCGTGACGCACCGCGCCATGAGCCTGAAGCGCCACCTTCAGGAGGCTGTTACCTGCGCTGACCTATAGCCTGGAGCTGGGGGTGCTTGGCCTGCAGACATTTGCATGTCAGACCTGTGACCTACCCACACCAGTTACCAGCGTGTCGCAGGTGGGGCTCTGCTGGTCATGTAAGATGTTTACATGCGCTCTTCATATATCACATAAATTATGGCAGACGATTTTCATGCGACGTCGCACTGCGACAGTTTGAATAGAAGAGCAAACATTACGCCAAACGTGTACGATCTGCGGCATGAAGGGACAGATGGAGGAGCAAGGAGCAAGACAAGGCAAGGAACAAACTCACAAAGCAAGTCAGCTTTGTGAGTTTGCTTCTTGCCTAGGCTAAGCGTAGCAAGAATTAAACTTGCCACGTTTACGTCTACCAAAACTTGCCCTTGCCTAGGCTAAGCGCCTTATGCCTCGGGAACACTCAACACCTGAACACCTGAAGCACCTGAACACTCAACACAGTACTTGACGTGACACGAAGAACGCGTGCTTCCTCCAAGCGTCTGGTCCGACATGTCTGCGACTGCCGTGTACGTGACGGTCAGCTGAAGCGTACAGTAAGACTCGACCCTGCCATGCCTCAGCGACCAATTCATGGGGGCCGAACGAGAGTACTGGTCACCTCCCGCCCAATAGGTTCCAAGTTTTTACACAAAAGTGAACAAATTTCTGACAAGTATTCAGGCAAGAATTTGTATGCAACAAAAAGTCAATCTCGCCACCGAAGTTGCGTTTTCCATAACGGCCAAAATGAGTCCATAATTACCAATCCACTTGCTTCTTAGTGAGCGTTAGCCGTTCTATGTAAATATTGCCAATCGTAACATGACATGTAGGATTCAAAATTGTGAAATACATCTTTTGAAATGCTCAATGGCCTATCTTGCTGAGGCTTTTAAAATGTTTTTTTTAGTTGATCACATGCTCTCATGAGAAGGTAAGCTAACATTTTAAAATAAGTTGCTGCCACCTGGCCCGGTCCATGCTTTCGTTTGACGTGATTTCTGTACGAATCTATTTGTACTTCCTTCGGAAAAAAACTTTGAAACGAAAACGGCTAGACGGTAAGTACGAGCGACAACCAACAAGCGGGCATATTGCGCGCGTGCACTGCCGTTATGCGTACGGGTGTGTACGCACGTGTGCTTTTGCGTCGGTTCGTGTACGGATGCGTGTAAGCAGGTGTGTGCGTGTATGTACGCGTGTGTGTGCGTGCGTGTGTCTGTATGTGTGTGTGTGTGTGCGGGTGTATGCCAGCCCGGCGCCGGCTGCGGAGGGCACATCCGGCGCCGGCAGCTGCGGCCGACCGGGCTACCCGCGCCGCCTCAGTCGCTGGCACAGCGCCTGCTCGACACGCACGTGTGTACCGGCCGGCTGACCGGGCGCCGCCGCCGGCCACCATGAGGCTCTCCGGCTCGCTCAGGTCAGTACCGCCGCCGGTGACCTCGCTTACCGGGCTGGGGGCCGCCGCAGGCGCCGGGCAGGGGCGAGGCGGGGCAGCCCGCACTGATACGCCGCTGGACCGCGCTCTGTCAGGGGCCGTGTCGATGCTAGACTGATGGTTATGCTATCATTGCCAGCCGTTTGGTGGTGTAGAGCTATGTAAGAAAAGAAAAACGAGCCCTCACTTGTCACGTGGCAGTATTTGGATGGCGGTCAGTGTTTAGGTCACGTGAATTTTTTATGCAATGCCTTATGTATACTATGCGGATCTTTGGGATTTTGGATCTTGGATCTGCAAACAAGATCTTAGATTTTGTCCATTGCTCGCTTTTAGTTTCCGACCATTCCTTGATGTTTGTTCGAGTGAGTCATTGGGTTGTCGATTATGGGGAATGTGGTCTTCGTGCTTCTAGTTGATACAAGAGCTTGGAAAATGTCACGGAAATTCAACAATTGATTTATAATATCAGGTGACATGAAAGTCTTTCGTCCATATTTGTTATGTGATGCGTGCGCATTATTTCATCCTATAACCACGTTGGTGTGTTTTGCGGCGCGAAATGAACGAGTTTATTACGAGTGCGTGAATGATGTGCCTTGTGATAGAGTAACGTTTACCTTGCAAGCGGTCACTGGAGTGGATACAAACAGGTCGTGCCAAGAATGGCTTTCGGTGATCGTGAAAACACTTTGTAGCTTGCAAAAGAACGACATCTAGCGTCACATGCTGCTACACTTAATCCACATTTGCGATGGGCTAGTGTTAGAGCCTGTAATACAATATTGCGACGAAAATGCTGGCATGCAGCAGCATTTTAAGGCAAAGTAACACCCATGTTTCATTTGAATTGAACAAATTGAGGTGAAAGTTGAATGCTGTGTGGAGATCAGCGATATCACCAACATCACCTCTTGAACAACCCTACGTTCGGGGCGAGGTCGGCGGCTCTTTCACGTCGGAAAGTTGCCCGCAGTTGAATTGCAAGTCGTTGGGTCTGCTGCCTTGTTGGAAGCGAAGTGCACCAAACATGTTCATAGTAGCATCCATGGGCCGTAGAAGTCGCGTTTAAACTCGAGAACAAGAACGTTTAAAATGAACGTCCCGATTGAATACAACTCGGCCCTAACTGACAAACGTCACATTAGCAAGGAATACCTTTAAACTCCTGGTTTTTCGGCATGGTGAGCCCACCGTAAGCTTGTGCCTTTGTCAGTTTAACCTCGCTCAGTCGTTCACTGTACAATTCGTGCACTACATTCGCTGCACCACTATAGTGGTAGTTCTGGAACAAGCCGGGGTGCTGCATTACGGGTGGTGAAAAAGTGCCTTTTCGGTCTCCGATGAATTTTGAAACCGTCTGAATCGCCACCCGGAGTCAAATCTTTCAGAAAACGTCGCAATATATCTAAATATGATAAACCACAAAAAGACGACCCAAATGCAATGCGGCATAACCACCAAATATTTTCGTTTCGGGAGTTTATTTGCAATTTAGTTCTATTTCCCGACCATCAAATACTGAATGTTGGTTGAGATTTACCTTATAGAAATATCTGATAAGGGCATACTTAACATAACCAGCCTAAATGCGTATAGTTTCCTATTCAGTATAGTTTCTATTGTAGTGTCCTATAGTTTGGAGGTGTGTGGGGGGGGGGATAAAGTGGGATTGTGCCTGCTACCCAGGGATGCAGTATAATATTTTTAGCTATAATTTTATCCATTATTTTGAATTTATCATAAGTTGGAGAGTTCATCTGCCCGAGAACTAATTTTGAGAGACTACAACCCTGTTCCGATTGCGAAAAAGTGTGCCAAATCTGGGAAGAAAACTGCTTTAAGTGCATTTCGGAGGCAGGCTCAGGCATTTTTTCTTCCTGAACCTCTCCCTCTCCCCCTTCCATCCCTCACCGCGACGTATTTTGCATAACTGCATCCCCATAGCCCTACATTTACCGATAATGTGGTTCTGGAAAGCACCTGAAACAGTATCACTTTTGTTTTCGTGACGCCATCGTAAAATCAGCTGGAAGCGTTGGCGACTTTATCCTCGCACAATCATTGCCCGTGCAGAACTTGCACTTCCTAGCATGATCCCAATTATTCAGAGCAAAACCCGTGCAATAATGGTATCAACAGATGAAAACGAATTTTTGAATACCTCTAGCACCTTCATTTAGCGTTATTGCAATATGATGACGACTTAAAGTGTTTTATCTCACGCTTGTCCATCGAGCAGTGCGCTAATTCCGAGGTGCAGCGGGAAATGTGAGAGGCCTACACCAGCGATGCTCGACCCCTTACCTTGAAGCCGCTGTTCCTCTCACTAGCAGGAAGCCCTCGATGAATGCTTTACATGTGTCGCTTCAACGACATCCGTTTACCTCTGAGGCTACGGCTCAGATATCCACAAGAGACAATTCTTCTAGATCCGTAGGGCTTTTTAACGCTATTCCATTAAAAAAACTGACGGTTGGCTATGTTTGCCTGGCCAATCAGCTTCCAACAACATGAACACAACCAACAACAGCCCACAGCCTTGCATTGAACCCAACGCATTTCCAAGTGGCGAGCAATCAAGCCCATCTGTCTCAAATGGCACGACGCTTAAAAACGCAGCGTAGCAAACCAATCACGTTCGTCGCGAGGTGCTGTCGCCAGCCGCGATTCTTACGACTAGCAATAAGCCTAGTTATTTAGTATTTTATACTGTTTAGCATGTGAAGTAAATCTTGGCTGCAAAAATCTGTGGAAAGCACTGATCTGAGGGACAGTGGAAGAACACCGTGCCACCACTGATCTGTGGTATCAGCACTAGCACAGCATATAGTTTGTAGTATGTTTCTGTCACCTGCTAAGAACTATCCTGATTAAAGCTGCTATGTTTGGCTACATCTTATGCCTCAACTTGCTTACACAGCAAAACGTCAGACGAATGCTAGGCTTTGAGTTTTGTCGAGGTGGGCTAATTTGTTGTAATGTGGTCTTGCCTGTTGAAACTTGTTTTCAGTTTCGGAAATTTGTCATCAATTGGTTTGCGAATGTGCCAGTTTTTGTTACCGAGCATACCCGGTAAATCAGAAGCTTTTCTCACCCCTGCTGCATTAGGTGGCATTTCAGCTGATGATGTCAAACAGTGAAATACTGTGCACACCACTTGCCTCCATGCACTGTTTCTTATTCACGCAGCGCATTAATACTTCCATCCGTATATGATGTCACGCAATCTTGCACGACTGATTTCTGTATATCAATCGATAAGGCGATATCATCGCAGCGTTGTCAGTCGCAAAAGATAGGGCTATCTTTCTGTCTGACATTCGACGAAGAACTAGAATATGCACGGAAACAAGCATCAAGTATTCATGTCCACGTTCTTAAAGGGATTAATCCGAGCGAAAATCATGTTAGAGTGATGTAGAAGTAAGTTGTTCATTCGCATTTGTAATTTGTAGTGAATTTGCAAAGAACATTCTTCACATAGATAAGACAATAGGAGTAACCTTATTCCCCGAGAAAAAAGACCGGAAGAATGAAGATATAGATGGGCTGATATTTTGGCTGCATGCTTATCTCTGAAACTGCATGCTTGTCTCATAAACCATTAGGTGCCATTCCAGAGAGTTCTCATTGAGCGCTGTAATAACTAAAGGGGTGTTGGCTTGGGCAGGGCCGTATGTGTGGGGGACTGCCATGTTGTTGTGTTGTCACTGCATCTTTGTTCTGATTTAGCAGTCCTTCTAGTCTAGTATAGTCCATCTGGAAATACTACCAGGTGACACTCCAATCCCACTAGGCCCACAAGTTGGATCCAAAACTTTTACGAAATGGTTTTGCTGTCCAGAGAAAACTTTTTGGAAAACGAAAGGCGATTTATAAATCATACCATTGCGCTGGATATTCTGTATCTAAACAGCCCCTCCCTCAAACAAGTTTTTATATGCTTAATCAGCCTGACTTTCCGAAAAGAGAAACTCGAGAGGAGCATGAGAAGCAGCTGTCTGTGGCACTCGCCCACCACGTCCTCAGCAAAGGCACATTACTGGTTAAATGGTCATGCTCATGACATAACTATGTGTCCGGTACACTGTAAGTCAGGGAGCCAACAGCTTATGCAGGCATCTCGGAATATGTGAGAGAATTTCTATCCTAAAGCCCATAAAATCAAACATCAATACAAAATTCTCCAATACTGCAAAAATACCATCAAATGCCAACATCATCATTTAATTTTGGTATTCCTCGAATGTCGTAACGTGTCACCAGCTATTTTAGGCCAATAAAGCTATCGATGACACTGCTTTTTGTTCTCTCAAATTATACCTTTGGTTTATAGGGATATTTTGGTAGGGATTCGTCTCGTTAAACAAATTACTCACTTCAGTAGCAATTAAATCTCACAGTGGCATAGACACACACCAACAGTGTGCACTGCGGGGTGGAGGGGCTGCCTCCTTAGGTACAGTTGTGAATCCTACCCTTGCCCCTGGTGTGGTGAATCGGTCCTAGTCAACTTCATTCGCATGTTCATTGAAATATCAAGGCTCGCATGTAGGCTCATTAAAACGCTGCGCCGTAACCTCAGAACTTTCCTGAATGCCTGTTTAATCTAAAGCTCCTTTAAAGGTATCACTGTCGGGTATTTTGCTACTTTCGGATATCTTAGCGATGACCGTTATGGAGGCGTGCCCGGAAAATATGGCTCACAGTCAATCGCGCATAAGCCTCGCCAAAAATAGCCTTTCGGCGTTCGCCAGACGACTCCGCTGCTGCCACACCTCTTCCGCACGTAGACGTAAGGCCATAACATCCTGGAGTGGCGATTTGCTCAACACTTGATATGTTTGGTTTGACACGTGTGAATTGGCCGTCCCGCTGGTGCGGTAGTTCTTGCGCCTGCCGGGGGGCGGCGCCACCGGCTAACACTGAGTGGGACGTACGATGTTTTAGCTCCATTCTTTCCATTCAAAGCCATAGGC